CTGAGAACGTCACTCTCACGGATGAAGGTAATGTCGACCTTGGGCATTAACTAGAGTAGTGAAGAGTAGCAGTACTGAACATAGGGAATAGTGAATGGGTAATAGGTGTACGGAAAACAAGTGAAACGCGGTGATAGAGAAAGGGCTGTGAGTGTGATGTTTCGAGTAAGTCTTAACAGAGGGACCAAAGGTGCACAAAAGTTATTAAAAAAATAAATAGAAAATGGAAAAGAAAAACGAATGTACAAGGTAACACTAAACCTAGGCGTTCTAAGTGAGACCAGAAAAAAAGAAAAATAAGTGTTTGTCCAGAGAGGCAAATGATTTTGAGCATAATATTATTCAAAAACGAAAAAGTTCGAATCTCCTTCTGTGTTTATCATCAAATAGGTAATTTTAAACGTTCTTCAACTCAAATGTTTACTTTTTATTTTGTTTTATGTAAGTGTTGACTGTGACGCACTACTGTTATTATCATTATCATTATTATTTTATGAAAAATGTATATTTGAGGAAGCAAGTTACAGCAGTAAGAACTGGCCCCCCGAAAGTTCATAACCGAAAAATTCTTATTTGTTCTTTGCTGACTCTCGCTAGGAAATGACTTTTCTTTTACAGAAGCAAGAAAAAAGAAGTAAAAGACCGAGCGACATGGACAAGCACATTACTTCTGACCTTTTTTACTTCGTTTCAGACATTGCAGTGTTTTCTCCATTACTTTTATTTCGTTTTTTCTTTATCATTGTTACAGATTTTTTGTTTGTTTGTTTTGGAAAACATCTCCCTCATGACGCTTTTTTTTGCATTTCGTTCCTGTTTGATTTTTATCCTTTAGTTTCCTTGAGTCTCTCTTTGATAGAAGAGAATTTAATCATTTTTGTTACTACAGGTGTTCAGTTATTAACTAGAAGAGTTAAGGTGAATGATGCTACGTCAGTTATGGAATTCAGATTTGGATTAAGTACACACACACACACACACACACACACACACACACACACACACACACACACACACACACACACACACACACACACCAAGCTATAGAAATGAAAATAAAAAAATAAAAAAAGTAAAATAGAAAAAAAATATATAACCATTCCAGGCGAACCAAAAGAGAGGCCCAGCGGATACCAGTCTCACCCTTGGGGCATTTTCTTCACCATTGTGGGCACCATGCTCTTGGACTTCGATGCAGACGCGTGCCAGAGTCCTTCGCGTGCCTACCTCCTCGATGTCACTGTGCCAGGTCTGTTTTTTTTTGTTATTATTATTATTATTATTATTATTATTATCATCATCATTATTATTATTATTATTTTTATTATTATCATTATTATTATTATTATTATTATTATTATTATTATCATCGATTTTTCTTGTCTGTTGCTATTGCTGTTATTATCGTTATTAATACTAATATTGTTATTATTGTTGCTGTTTTATACTAATAATTGCTACTATACTACTACTAACAGTAATGATAATAATGATGATAATTACCATTATTATCATTATCACTATCGTCATCATTAACACCATCATTATTATTATCATTATCATTATTATTATCAGTAATAATGATGATAATAGTAATAACGATAACAGTGATTATGATGATAATAATGAGAATGATATGATTTATTATTGTTATTATCTTTATTATCATTATTGTCATTATTGTTATTATTATCATTGTTATTATCATAATTATTATCAGTATTATTGTTGCTGCGGTTGATATTATAATAATTATCTTTATCATTATCATTGTCATTATCATTATCATTGTTATTATATTGTTATTATTATTATCAGTATTAATATTGTTATATTTATCATCAATGTTATTGGTATCATTATTATTATCATTACAGTTATTATCATCATTATTAGGTTTTCGGTTCAATAAAAAAGAAAAATACACTGTATATATATATGTGTATGTGTGTGTGTGTGTGTGTGTGTGTGTGTGTGTGTGTGTGTGTGTGTGTGTGTGTGTGTGTGTGTGTGTGTGTGTGTGTGCATATTCAGTCCATATTTTCTGATCTTAATGTCTTGATACAAAAAACGATTATCTCAAAAGCTATATCGTTTTGAATAGAATTAAGCTATAGAAAAAAGGGGAACTAAAAAGAATAAAAGAAAAAGTACATGAACGGCCTAAAAAAAAATACCCCCCCCCTTGGATAAGAATAAAATAAAACAGTAGATAAACATCCTGAACATCCCACATCCCCCTCCATCTTACCTCCCCTCCTTCCTTTACCCTCTCTTCTCTTCCCCTCCTCTTTTTTTTCTCTTCTCCCCCTTCCCCGTTTTTACCTCTTCTCCCGTCCTTTTTTTTCTTTATTCCCTTCCCCTCCTCCTCCTCCTACTCCCCCTCCTCCCCCTCCCCCTCCTCCTCCTCCTCCCCCTTCCCCTTCCCCTTCTCCCTTCCCCTCGACCCCTTCATTCTTCTAACACCCACGCAACCCCCCCCCCCACCCGTCTTCCCTCCTCCCTCCCCCTATCCCTCCTCTTCACCCCTTAACCCTCCTCCCTCCCTCCCCCTCCCCTTCAAAAAAACAAACAAAAAAAAACGAAACAAGAAAAAAAAACAAAAAAACTTCTCAACGTGGAATCCTCACAGCCAGATCCTCTTCCCAATTAATTTGCACAAGAGGATCCCATCGGCTATGTTTCATATTCGGGCGCGATCCTCAGAGGACTTAGCCGCCTCTTTTCCAATAACTTAGACTTCGAACTTGAGCTTAGGAGGTATTGGAAGTCGCATTAAAGTTGGTGGGTTGTGGGTATTTATAGAAACGCACGTGTGGGTGCTGTCTTCTGAAGTGCGATTTGTTTTTCTTTTTTTTTGGTCGGTCTTTGTGTCTGGTTTTGTCTGTCTGTCTTTGTATTTGTTTCTGTTTCTGTTGCTGTCTCTCTCTCTCTCTCTCTCTCTCTCACTCTCTGTTTGTGTGTGTGTACGTGATTCTTTGTGTGTGGATAGGTGTGTGTGGATGTCTTTATATGTTATTATTTACATATCTACATACAAGTATATTTGCAGAGAGAGAGAGAGAGAGAGAGAGAGAGAGAGAGAGAGAGAGAGAGAGAGAGAGAGAGAGAGAGAGAGAGAGAGAGAAAGATACAGGGACAGAGAAAGAGAAACACACACACAGACAAACTGAGGAAGAGAGAGAGAGAGAGAGCGAAAGAGAGAATGAATGAAAGAGAAAAAGCAAAAAAAAAGCAAAAGAAAGAAAAAGAAAAATAGATGGAAAGAAAAAGAAATAATAAAAAAAAAAGGTTAATGTTCACATCTATGAATGATAAATCGTCGCCGAGCATAACGAACGCCAAACTAAAGGGTTTTCAGCGTAAGCCACCAACTTCTGCCTCTCTCTCACCCACTTCCATTTTTAAACATGTGTGTCCTTCACCTTCGCCCACAGCCCCTGTCAAAACACATTCTCTCAGTGCCTTTCCTCCGCCGTGCAGGTCCCTCGATAATATATTGTTTTGCTTCATGAAGGTGTAACTTTCTCTCCTTTGTAATGTTGATGTTGATTTGGTCATTTGATTGAGGGGCAATGACGATATTTGTTATTTGTTTTTTGTGTTTGTTTGTTTTGATAGAGAAATGCGACAAGACAGAGTCTTCTTTTTAGATGTAATGAAAACGCCTAAAGCAAATACTCTTATCATTCTCATACTTCGTTGGGCACACACTAAGAACCTTTGTGTATGGCATGCACTTTTAAGACGTATTTCATGAAAACGGTTAGAATGTCGAATATATTAAGACTCATGAGTGGGAGCTTGTTTTCCGCACAAGTCATGTTCACGTATGTTGCGAGATTTTTTTTTATGTGGGAGAATAAGAAAAAAAAGGAAAAAGTCTGTTACGATTCTACAAAAAAAAAAAAAAAAAAAAATCATCTGGAATAATGTCTGTATTTCCTGACCACTCTACCTATTATTCATTATTTCCCAAAGATCTGTTTGCTGCATACAAACAACTGATTAAAATTAATAATCTAATCAGCATAAAAAACAAACAAACTTAGAAACAAACAAAAAAAAAGGAAGACCATTTGATCTGCAGTAAAACAAAAACAATAAAGATTTTTTTCTGTTACACTATAACCAACACCATCACCCTCTCACATTCCTCCCATTACCCCAAGCCCTCACTACTAATTACCCATTAACCCGTTTCATTACAACGTCCTCTTATCTTTCCAGAGGACCATGCTGTAGGCCTGTCCACCTTCACCATCATGGCTGGGCTCGGCGGTGGCCTCGGGTATGCCATGGGAGGGATTAACTGGGACGTCACTTTCATCGGTAAGTAGTTTAGTAGATTCGTAGTAGTAGTTAAGTAGTTTGGTAGTTTGGTAGTTTGGTGGTTTAGAAGTTTAGTAGTTTGGTAGTTTAGTAGTTTAGCAGTTTGGTAGTTTAGTAGCTTGGTAGTTTAGTAGTTTGGTAATTTGATAGTTTAGTAGTTTGGTAATTTAGTAGTTTGGTAGTTTAGTAGTTGGTAGTTTGGTAGTTTAGTAGTTTGGTAGTTTGGTAGTTTAGGAGTTTGGTAGTTTAGTAGATTAGTAGTTTAGTAGTTTAGTAGTTTGGTAGTTTGGTAGTTTAGTAGATTAGCAGTTTGGTAGTTTAGTAGTTTGGTAGTTTAGTAGATTAGTAGTTTGGTAGTTTAGTAGATTAGCAGTTTAGTAGTTTGGTAGTTTAGTTTGTCTGTGAGTAAGTGGGAGAAATGGATAGGTGCAGTCTATCAGTGAGTGGATGGGAGAAATTGGTTGATACAGTCTGTCTGTGAGTTTATGAGGGATCTTTTTTTTAGATTAATGAATAAATGAATAAGTAAATGAATGGATATGTAAGTGAAAGTA